GAAGAACACCGCCAGTGAGCCGTCTTAGGTATTAGAAGGCGCTTCCTTACACCCAGGTCTCCTCCTCTTCGTGACAACCTCCACCTACCAGATCAACACATTCTCGCTCCCATTCTGCGCCCATCCCATACGTTTCCTCTCTGGACTAAGCAGCCCTAGGGGTTGCACAAGCTGGGATTTCCAACCTCCCTCCCCATGCTGCGCATCCTCTGGGGAATGCAACGCCCAGAGTTTGCCCCTTCCAGCTGAAAACTGGCCATTTTTCAGGATTTCCCAAAGATGGCCACTGGTGGCCTGCCCAGTTCCCCGGGATGAGCGATGCATCAGGCCACAGTGCAGAGTCACTACGGCGACCAGTCATTGCTCTCCTTGATGGAGAGCAAGACAGCAGGCTGGGGCTTCCTCTGGTACCAGTTCGTATCACACCCTTCCCTTCATCCGTGACACAGCCGGTGCCTTCCAGCCCCAGATCTGACACCGAGAGACCTTGGGAAAGTCACTTTAAAATCTCAGGGCTTGTTCCCTTAACTGCAAAAGAGCAGGATGGGGCCAGATGGTATCGAAAGTCCTCTCTGCCCTGTGGCTCCAGGCCTACTCCATGCCCACCTGCCTTCAAGGAACCCTGACGACTGTGGCAGAAAAGAGCACTGCAGCCCCAGCACGTAGAACGTGCAGGTACACAGCAGGCGCCCAGGAGAGAGTTACCGGTGGGATGAGCAGAGGGTGAGATGGATGGACAGACCCTCCACAAATCCCGGGCCCACTGGCAAAGAGAGAAGCTAGCTGTTTAGAAACAGGGGCCCAAGAGAAGCCCTCCACCTACAAACGCCAGGGACTTACATCAAGATCAAGGGCCCAGGGCACCCTTGGGAGCAGGGAGACCAGGAATCCGCTCCTGACCCAGCCTGGCAACTGCTGGCTGTGTGGCCGTGAGCAGGTCACCCAGCTTTTCTGAGCTCCAGTTTGCTCCACGACACAATCTGCCCCTGCTGCCTACCCAGAATGGACTCGGGCCTGCCCAGGATCCTGCAAAAGCCACTGTGGGTCCCTGATGGCCCAGTGTCATGAAAAGGGCTTTGAAAACTGCAGGTGCTATGCAAGTAACAGCAACATTTGTCATTATTAGTGGTTAGGAGGGTGGACTCTTGTCCCAGACCACTGGGTCGGAATCCCAGCTCCCCCTTTCAGTAGCTCTGTGGCCTTCAGCCTCAGCTACTCATCTATGACATTGGGGATGCTCATGGCACCTCGTCATTATGCCGTCATCAGGATTAAATGAGTGTATTTTCGTAAAGCTTTCAAAACAAAGCTTGGCAGATACAACGTCCCGTTACAGGGTGAACCTCTCACTGCTGCTGTTATTGCTGGTATGGGTGAAACCAGCCTAGCAGTCCCCTTCGCCCTTCACTTCCTCCCTCCAGACTCCCACCTGACCTCCAGACCTCCAAGTCACTCTGCGAGGACATTCCGAGCCCCTGGCTGGGATGGCCCGTGCAAGGAGAAGCAGTGCGCACACCTTTCCTCCCCCAGCCCGGGTCTCCAGGGTTCCAGGCTGTGTGTGGAGAAGGCCCGCGTCCAGCCGACCTTGACGGCCACTCCATGTGGCTATCACCCTCAGGAAATTCCCTTGACTCATTTTTCAGAAGTTTAGAAAAGCTGCCTCAGCTCTTTGCAAGGATCAGGAGTGTCCATGGCAAACAAGCCCTCTCCACTCTCCACCCTGCCCCACCAGTGCACCCACAGGAGGGCGGTGACCCTAGGACCCTTCTACCCAAGGCCTTGGGCAACATCTATTGAGTAAGACAAAAACACGGGTTGAAGATTAAGCCACTCTGCCCTGGCTGGCCCAGGCACAGGCTGGAAAATGTGTTTGGCCTGCAGGGCCTGAAGCTGGGCAGAAATTCTGTGTCCAAGATGAGGAGTCTGAATCCCATAGGGTTAGGATTCAAGCAAGATCAGCGAGAAGGCCGGAGGGAGAGCTGCAGCCAAACTGAGCTATGGGGAAAACACGACAGACAGACAGACCGACAGACACACCGTGTGACGGACAGGGAGGGGGCAGGGAGGCTGGGGACCAGCGCTGCAGAGGCTGAAGGGCAGGCAGCGAATGGAAAAGGAAGGAAAAATACAAACTCGCCCTTTCCTCCCTCTTGTGAACCTGTTCAAAGCACTCGCCTCGCCCGCCCGTGAGGAAACAGGTGCTGAGCGCTCTCAGGGGAAGCCAAACTTTCTCCGGTTTCCCCTGGGCCACTTTCCCACTCCCCGGGGACAGCAACAGAGCTTCCAGCCGAAGGCAGCCGTCCCCCCATACACTCCCACCCACAGAACTCAACAGCCCCGCCGTCAGCAAACCAGGCAATACGAGCAAGAGCAGTCCTGTTTATTGGGTGCCTATTCTGTGCCAGACTCGGGCTGAATGCCTTGCTTCCAGTCACTCATAAACACATATAGAGCACCTACTATGTGCAAGACAGTGGAGATACAGCAACAAACAAAACAGGAAAAATCCCTTGTCCTCATAGAGTTTGCATGCTGGCCTGGGCAAAGCCCCTTAGACAGGATAAATAAGTAAACTGCATAGTGCATCAGAGGGTGGCTTGTGCTAAGGGGTAACAAAAGCAGGGAAGAGAGATAGGGTTGCTGAAGGAAGGGAAACGCTGACACCTGAGAAAAGACTTGGGCAGGAGAGAGCCTCGCTGGTACCTGCGGGAAGAGCATTCCAGGCGGAGGGAACAGCAAGTGCAAAGGCCCGGAGGCATCGTGCCCGGTATGTTCAAGGAACGGCAATGGGTCAGGTGGCTGAAACAGAGTGAGTGAGGTGGGAGGGAATGGAGGAGAGAGAGGAAGATGATGAGAGAGAGGTAGAGGAGAAGGAGACGAGGTGAGAGAGGAAACCTGTCACGTAGGGCTGTGTAGGCCAATAGGAGAAACTGGGCTGTTGCTCCAAGTAAGGGGGACAGGCATTGAGGGGTTTTGAAAACAGATGAATTAAATGGATTAATCTGCACATTTTATTCTTTGGACAACCTTACGGGGTAGGTACTATTACTAACCCCCATTCTGAAAAAGGGAATCCGCGGTCCAGAGAGATTAAGCCATGCGTTCAGGGCCACACCACCAGGGAGTGGGAGCCGGGTCCCAGAGGGAGTGTAACTCCCCGCTCTCTACTGCAGGGGGTAGTTCTGACTCAGGTAGGGGAGCCTCTGGGAGCACAGCCCGGTGTCACCAGGCCCCTCTACCGCCTGGTGGCTGACCCGCCCTCCCCGAAAGGGCAGAGCCCCCTGCACAGATGGGGCACATCACAGAGACTCGAAGATTCTACAACGCCTCTCAGGCAGGCATCCCTTGTGGATTCTATCTGCCGTCCCTCCCGCTGGAATGCCAACCTATTCCCTTCTGTCCCAACCTCTGACCCCTCCTCATGCAAACAAAGCTCACGAGACTCCCAGGGGCCAGACATCTGGTTTCTGCCTGGTGGTCCCTAAACCCTGGGCCCCCAGTCTCCCAAAGCAGCCAAGGACATTCTGTCCTCAGCCACAAGGTGGTAGTTCAGCGGGGACGATGAGAGATGTATACTCACCCCTCCCCACTCGCCCTCCTCAGGCTCCCCTGGTGTCCCTCTGCAAGCCAAAAGCGATTGCTCTCTGGCGGTTCCAAGCCAGGATGCACTCCGGCCCCATTCCGCACAGCACCCCACCCCCAACACCCGCCGTTGTCAGATGACCCTTGACTGGGCTCTGTGCGAATAACGCTCCACAGCTGGAGCAGCACAGCTGGGCAGCACTGAGGCCCAGGAGGGTCTGACCCTGGTGAGACCAGGGGTAGAGGGGCCACTGCAAAGAAGGTAAACAGCCCCGCAGGGCCCGGGCCAGTGGAGAGAGCAGTGACACCAAGAGCCCAGAGCACTTCCATGTGCTTTATGTCATTCCATCTCGACCTCGAGCAGGGAGGGAGGGACAGGGAATATTTATGAGCACTGAGGGGGCCTTTGGAGCATCTAGTCCAGCCCCTCTCTTTGACAGAAAGGGAAACTGAGATCCAGAAAGCAAGAAGGTGGGACTGACTCATCGTCACAGGGCACGTGGGTGCTGGAGCAGAAGAAGGGGCCAGGTGGCCTGACTGAGCAAGGCACCACACAGGTGCACAGGTACCCACCACTGTCTGGGCCCCAGGAGAGCCTTCGCCCCCAGCCCCCATCCCCCGCCCACATCAGTACCACCACAAGCACCTCCCACCAAACCATCCATCACACCTACGTGGTGCCCTTCAGTGACACATCCCACATGCCCATGCAGGCCCCTTCCTTTGCAGCCCCCAGGACCCTGCCCACCTCCAGCAGGGAGCAGCAGGATCTCTGACAGGGGAGAAGGCGGTGAGGGGCAGGGAGGAAGAGCATCCAACACCCCAAACCAGCCCAGCGGGGGTCAACCTGGAGCAGGGCCCTCCCCACAACTCACAGGGGGCTGCCCCTGTCCAGGCTCTTCTGGAAGCCTGATGGGGAAGAGGAGTGGGGGAAACGGAGTGACAGCAGAAAAGCAGGGTCAAGCCAAAGAGCTTGGAGATGGAACGGAGGCCACCTGGGTGTGAGAAACCTCCCAGGTGGGTGGACTCTGGGTCATGTCATCCACCCCCTGCCCCCAGCTGAAGGGTGCCTGACCCAGAACCTGGCGGGCGGAAGGAGATGCCACAGCAGTCCCTGATCCTCTGAGCCCTGGGACAACAGGCACCTGGCCAGGCCTGGAAACACACAAGATGCCCTTTTATGGGTTTTTCCAAGGACTCAAGTCTCAAGGTTGGAAATAGCAGGCCCTGCATCTCATCAGAAGGGGCCTCATGACTCATTTCCTCCCGGTCCAGCTTCGGCCTAGGGAGGTCGACCCTCCTCCTCCCACCTCATTGCCCAACGCCATACTCCGTCTAAAGAAAGCTCCAGTGGGGAGCTGGGGAGCTGCGGAAAGCGGGGGGCGCGGCCGGCAGGGTAAGGGAGGGCTGTCACTCACCACCATCTCATGGTTGGATGGAGGAACGCAGGGGGCGGCCACCTGTAGGAGGAACAGAGAAAGGGCAGGTGAGCATCTCTTTTCACAGCCATCCATGCCCCGCCCTTCCCTCAGTGGCACACACTGACGCTTTCCAGTCTGAGGGTTCTGCAGAAGACTGGGGCACAGGGGACATGCTCGGGCAATGACACCTGGGCAAGGGGGGCCGCAGAACGCAGAAGTGCCATGTGCGGCAGGACCACAGTTCTGTGAACGGTACACAGACGCGGAGTCGCTGGAGGGAAGACACCGGCACTTTAATACCAGCGGGGCGAGGGAATGAGAAGAAGGATTTTTATTTTTTGCTGTATTTTCTGAATTCTCTACAATATAGTAAAGTTTGGTTTACATTTTTAAAAACTGAGATGAAGACCTGTAGAACAGGGAAAGTCACCTCCTCCGTTCTCCCCAATGCCAAGGGATCTCACCCAAAGGTCAGAGCTGCAGACAGCTCCTAGCAGCCCTGGCAAAGTTTCCCGAAGCACGCAGGAAACAGGCGGTGAAGGGCCCCTGCCAGCTCTTCCAAAGAAAGCCATCGACGTCACTGATATATGTGAAGGGCTTTGAGGGACAGAGGTGCCCGCTATGGACCACCTATGACCCTCATCGGTTTCATCTTCCTCTCCGATCTGGAGGAGGAGATGGCAACCTGGGCCTCCAGACAGGGGTGGGGGAGCGGGAGAGAGGAGAGGAGAGGAAGGGAGGGAGGGCTCGCCCGCTCGCTCCCCTCCCTGAGATAACATTCCCCTGGCCAGGCCTGGCAGCCAAGCCATTACCCTGACAATTAGCAGGGGCATTTATCAGAGACTCCATGTGCTCCTTTTTTCTAGCCGGGACACGTTTCTCTTGGAGCTCAGTCCTCGACCCTGGCTCCAGTTCCCGACCTGAGCAGCAGGCAAGGAGCCCACACAGGGCACAGGCAGGGAGGCTCTCCCTCGGGCATGAGGGGGTCTGGGCACAAGCCATGGACGGCCAAAGGGGGGGCCCCGACAGTGGGCAGCCCTCCCTGCCCACCACGCCGGTGGAGCGGGTGTTGGCGCAAGCCCACAGCGCAGCCCAGCTGGGCCTCGTCTCCTCCTGCTCGTGCTGTTGTCCCAACAGCCCAAGGGCTCCCAGACTTGACACCCAGCCCAGATGAGGACACTGGAGCCCAGCCCGTGTGACAGTGCCCCATGCTGTGGGGTGACGCAGCTGGGAGTTAGAGGCCCTGGGTTCTAGACCCACTCATGATACAGGCTCCCTGCCCAACTCTTTCTCCAGCAAAGAGGCCCAAGCAGTCTTAGCATTTATCACCCTGTACTCAACAGAATTCCGGGACTGTTGAGAGAATCACATGGGGCCAAAAAACCCAACAACAACAATATCCAACACTTATCGTACATGTACTCCATGACAGGTATTATTAAAAATGCTTTACCCGTGCTGACTCATTTAATCCTTTCAACAACCCAGTAAGGTGGATACTACTGTCGTATCCCCTGCTGAGGTGCATGGGGCACAGAGAGGTTAAACAACTTGCGCAAGGTCACACAGCTGATAGTGGCTGGGATTTGAATCCAGGCAGTATGATCCCAAGTCCAGATGTGAAGGGAACCTTACCATTCATGGCCCGACTCTCAGGATAATGAGGAAACAGAGACAACCGCTCCCAGAAACCCAGAGCTGTTGATACACACCGGCACAGGGCTATGAGCGACTATTTTAGAAAAGGCATCTGCAGGGACAGGGCCCAAGGGTGGGGTGGAGGGTGCTGGGGGAACAGACCAGGAGGGAAGGGAAGGTCAGGGCCCAGAGCTGGCTGTGGCCTGCAGAGCTCCCTGTCTGCCCTGACCACCAGTCGATGTCCCAGCCACAGGGGATACCGCTGTCCCTGCCTGGCACAGCCCCCAACCCCACTCTGGGGGATGTTAGGTTTCAACGTCATGGGCCAGGTCCCCAGGGTGCCCTCTCCCAGCTCACCCCATCACCATGGGACCCTCACGTCCTGGCAGGGAGCAGGCACCATCCCCAGGACAGAGCCTTGCTATGTTCATTTCTCCTGAGCTGGAGCCGGGCTGGGCAGGGAACCCGAACGCAGGGCCCAGCTGCAAGAAGAGGGGCCCCTGCCACAGCCCCCTCCAGCCGTGCCCGTCTGTTACAGGAGGTGACAGTGAGGCAGGGATAGCACAGACAGGTGTCCTCTGAGACAGATGGGCGGGTGTCTCTCCCAGACCCAGCCTAAGGCAGTGGAAAGAGGGAGGACCAGGTGTGCTGACCACGGGGCCTTCCCCGTCCCCCGAGGCAGAGGCACCCCGTAAGAACTGGATCTGCGGGGGAGCTGCCCAGCCCCCACCCGAGGGCCTGAGGCCCAGGTGCCCTTCGGGCCTGCTGCCCCCCATGGCCTCTGCCCCCTCCGCCCACAGCTGTGCATTCCAGGCCCGCCGGCCCGCCAGCCCACTAACTTTGTTGTGTGTTTCAGTGTTTCTTGTCTCTCTTTTTTTTTTAAGCAGAGAAATGTTTCCTTAAAAGGCTGTCTCCTTCCCTCCGGCACCCTGGCCCCTGGCCACCCTCTCAGGAGCCTGGAATGTGCCAGGGAGAACCAGGGCCCCCTGCCACCCTGTGGCCCGTGCCCTATGGCCCCACGGTCCTGGTGTCTGCACTGGCTGCCCCCATTGTCCCTGGGGGCCCCAAGCAAGAAAGCGTCCCTCTGCAGAGGGGCAGACTCTGGGGGTCTGCAGGGGCTCTCGGTGCCAGCCCTGCCACGGTTCACCTCCAGGGCTGGCAGCACAGGATTGAGCCCAGAAAGGCAGCCGTAGGCAAGCGCTCTTCTTTCCCTGGCACACCTCAGTGACCCAGCTAGACACTGGGAGTAAGAGGGCCTTGTGCCCAGTCTTTCCACTCTGAACAATATAAGAATAATAATAACGTTGCAGCCCCAAATACTCCCATCACACTTGCTCTGCACCAGGAACTATTCTTAGCACTTTGTGTAAATTAACTCATTTAATTCTCATAACAACCCGTAGCGTTGTAATTATTGTCCCCATTTTGTGGATGAGGAGACGGAGGCGCGTAGAGGTTAATGCACTGGCCCATAGGAGGCAGGGGACACACCCACAGTCTGGCTTCGCAGGCCTGCCCTTGCCCTCTGAGCCACGCTGACTCTCCCGTCAGCACAATTTCCACAGAGCCATCAACAGCAGGGACAGTGACAGCCACAGCGACAGGCTGCTCACGGAGTGAGTGCGCTGCATGTCTGGCCTTGGCCCTTTGCTCACACTAACCGAAGCTTAGCTACTGTCCCAAGCCCTTTGCTCAGACTCCTTGGGAGCTATGATCCCCATTTGACAGATGAGGAAACTAAGGCACAGGAAGGGGAAAGATGTGCCCGGCACTGCAGCAGAGCATCTGGCTCCCGAGCCTGTGAGATGGAGACTTGAGGGTGCCGCTGGGAGGTGACAGTGTTAGCCACCCAGACCGCAGGAAATGTCTGGCACTCGTCAGCAACCCCCATGAGTACTGTCTCAACTTCAAAGGTCCCTGGGCACTATGCAAACAACAGGACACACTGTGGACACTCCCCCAGGATGAGAGGGTCTAAAAGCGCTGGACGGCAGGCGGCCCAAGCAGGGAGCTCCCTGCGTGACCTGGCCCTGCCCTCCTCTCAGCCTTCACTCTGTGCCCGACCCCCTTGGCCAGGACCCAGCGCCACCCACAGGGGTGGGCTCCTCTCCATCCTTCAGACACCTAGCTCTGTTCTTCCTCAGGGCCTTTGCATAGGCTGTTCCCTCTGCCTGGAACGCTCTTCTTCCAGCTGTCTGCATAGCTGTGCTCCTCCTGCCCTTCTGGCTCTGTCTTAAATCCCATCAACCCCGAGAGGCCCTCCCTGATCCCTTAGATTTCACACACACACACACACACACATACACACACGCACAATTCTCTCTCCTGTCCCCATCTCTCTTCCTTCACAGTCTTCACAGAGCGAATTACAATCGTAATTACACATGTGTGTGCTTCCTTGTCTAGAATCCATTTCCTCCTCTACAGAACAAGTGCTCTGAGGGCAGGAAGCATGTCCTATTCATCACACTAGTCCCAACACGAGCCAGCACACAGTAGGTGCACACTAAATGTCTGTTGAAGGAATGGAAGTGACCCAAGGCCTGAGGAAAGGAGACACTTGGTAAAATCACTGCCATTTGTCAAGCACCTACTACGCGCCAGGCACTGGGACTAATCCTATCACATGCCTAATCTTTCCGAGACCCTCCGAGCCAGCGAAGTCAGCAAATTGCGCCCATTTCACAGATGAAGAAACAGAAGCTGCAAGAGGCCATGACTCTTGCCCTGGGTCCAGCAGCTGGGAAGGGGTTTAGATCATAATCTCTGCATTTGTGAAAGATAAAATTTCTTGAGGTCTTGGCTTTTTGGGCGACTGGTGTGCTGGTGACATGGAGGTCACCCATCACGGTTTTTGATCAATCTCATCGGAAGACTTAGGTTGTCCGTCACGGCATTTCAGATGACTGCAGTTATAAAGCTGGGTGCACACATTACCAGAGTGATATGCACTTACGCAGCTCCCTTTTTGACCACTACTCTATGAATATGGCTCATCTGCTCGTAGCTATTACACCTGTGTGACTGCTATTAGTGTACCTGAGTGTTTATGCTTGCAAAACTATGTGTGTTTTTATTGCCTGTTTTATTGTGTAAAGTGGCTTATGAGTCCTAGGTCATGTCTTTATATGTTTCTAAAATAAATTTCTTTTTAAAAACATAAATAAATATCTTTTAAAGGAATGGTTCATTATTTTCTCCAGAATTATATTTTCTGAATTTTGACCTTTCAGGATTTCAATATTCAGGATCATGGCATTCAGGATTGTGTCTTTCGGGATTTTAATCGGCTCCCGCTGGGAAGAGGGGAGCTGCAGGTGGAGTCTGGGTCTGCGGGCTCTGGAACTGCTCTTTGCAGGACGAGAGAAAACCCAGGTGCCTGCCTGCCACTGTCCCTGTCG